CTAATAAACCTAAATCCCTGCTCCCTATACCATCATCTCATCCATGTATTGACATCCTTCCATTCTGCCTGTCTAACTGACCCTGCATGTGGAACTGGAAACATTTCAGAGAATGCTACCATGGAGGTCCTGGACTTCAATCTCTTACCTAGCATCCTAAATTTGGCCTCCAGACCCTCTTTCCTCCTTTCTGTATGTTATTAATACCTACATGAACCACGACCACCAGCTCTACCCCAGCACTGTACATAAGTCTGTCTAGATGTCTCAAGAAATCCACAGCCTTCACAACCAGCAGGCATTTCACCATATGGTTCTCCCAGTCATCACAAAGCCAACTATCTATGTTTCTAATGATTGAATCCCCCATTATTATTACCTGTCTCTTCCTAAATAACTGAGATTCCCTCCCGAGAGGTATCCTCAGTGCTAGAGGATACCATGATCTAAAAAGAGGGTCCCAACTACGGGATCATTTCCCTCTGCTCCAGTTTGATGTTCTCCTTCCCCAAGACTTTCATCCTCCTCAGCAGCACAGAGGCTGTCAGACTGGAGCTGGGATCACTCTACAGTGTCCCAGAAAGTCTCATTTGTGTACTTCTGTCTCCCTTTACTCCTCCAGTTCAGCCACTCTGGTTTCAAGAGCTCATACTCAGTCTCTGAGGGCCATGAGCTCTTTGCACCGGATGCACACACACATGCTACCTGCCCACAAGGTAATCCTACATGCTGTATTCAGTGCAATCAACTGGATAGCCCCAACTCTGCAGCTGGACTTCTGCATGCATTCTTTTTACTCCTGCAACTTTTTTATTTTTGGGGTTTTTGTTTTGTTTTGACTCAGAAGACACCAGGAACAACAATCTCAGCAGGCACTTATTCCATAATTCCAAATGGGAGCTGGATTTACAGAACCTCAGTCACATTTTTCTGACCATAGGGTTTCTAAAGGTGGACCTTTTTGCCACAGCCACCAACAGGAAGTGCAATATATTCTTCTTGATAGGAGGGCTGGGTCCTCACTCCTTGGGGGATGCGTTCCTCATTCCTTGGATGAAGGGGTTTCTCTATGGATCTCCTCCAATACTGTTGATCTTGAGAGTATTGAACAAGGTCAAACATGACGATGTCAGGGCCATCGTTTTAGTTGTCCCAGTGTGTCTAAGACAAGTCTGGTACCCTTACCTGATTCACCTTTCCTCTTTTCTGGTGTTGTCTTCTGGCCATTCCCCACCTGTTGTTTTAGGACTCCAGTCGGACTTTTTCATCCCATTCTGGGAATTCTTCATCTCAGAACTTGGTTACTGAATGGTTCTCGGAGATAGAAACTTCCTGTTCTGCAGAGGTAAAACAGGTACTGTTAAACCGTATGAAGTTGTCTACACAAAACACTTATCTTCAGAATTCAGCACTGGTTTATCTGGTGACAGTTTTCACGTGTTCACAATTTCCTCTATGCTGTTCTTGACTACCATTTAGAATTGAAAAAGTCAGGACTCTCCATGAGTTCTGTCAAGGATCACTTGGTGGCAATAGTTGCCTTTCATTCCTCTGTTGAGGGATTTTCAGTGTTTGCTCACCCCACAACAGCAAGATTCATTAAGATGCTGATGAACCTTTTCCCACTGATTAGAGAGCCCACCCTTGTATGTGATCTAAACTTGGTCCTTATTTGTTACATGGAATCCCCCTTTGAGACACTTGCCACCTGTCCCTATCTTCATCTGGCCATGAAAATGGCTTTCAGGACGGTATCACTTCTGCATGAAGAGTCGGAGAACTAAGGATGTTATGAGACGTCCACCCCACGATGGCCAAGAAAGCGCTGGGTGGGCCCAGGTGGGCCTATGCTACTAATTAGGCTACAAGCAAGAGAGTTAATTGATGAGGAACAGGCTCCCTTGGACAGGACAGGCTGGGCTTCTAGAAAGCCAAGTAGCTGGCTAGAGAGGAGCATGGCAGCTAGGGAAGGGCAATCACTCCCTGAAAAGAGGGAAGGAGTGTTTGTGGCTGCAGGATGGTAAGCTGCACAGACTTCCTGAGAGGCGAGAGTAGAGAAGATGAACCCAGAGGGGGAGCCAGTTAGGTAGGAAAAAGCTCAGGGAAACAGCAGTAAGGTCACAGGCAGTACAGGCCTAGGCTGCATGTTATAGGGTCCCTGTGATGGAACCCAGCATAGAGGGTGGGCTTGGGTACCCATACCAGACACTGGGTAGTGGTTCAGGGCACTGGAGATGCCTGCCAGACAGCTTGTCCATAAAGACTGTGATTTTCCCCAGAAAGGGAGGGACTTAGTAACCTGGATGGAGTACCAAGCCACGGACCTGAAGCGGCAGCACCGAGAGCGAGAGAGGACACATACGGAGAGAAGACGGGCGGAGAGACTACTGAGGAGGATGCAGCTGAGAGACTGAGCTAATCTCCAGAGCGATGAACAAGGAGGTGCCACGAGCAGAGAGGGAACACTGTCACTGGGGAGCTCTAATTGCAGTTCCTCCCAGTACAGTATTCTTCAGGAAGAAAGTTTCATTACAACCATATTCCAAGTTTCTCCCAAAATTATCGTCTGAATTCCATATTAATTAGATTATTCAGCTTCCAGTCTCCTTCCTGAAACCACACCAGACCAGGGAGGAAATTATTGGATGTCAGAAGGGCATTAGCCTTCTGTCTGAACAAAACAACCCTTTTGAAAGTCTCCCAGACTGTTTCATTTACAGACAGATTCAGGGAATCCACAGTCTCCATTCAAAGACTCTCAAGGTGGATCTCTTCTGAGGTGTTAGCCCATTCTGCAAGATCCCAGTCTACTTCTAGAGCACTCTTGAATGATGCTCTAGTGGCTGAAATTTGTAGGGCAGCAGCCAACACTAAGCCTTGGCTCATGCAGCCAGATCCCATATGGTGGTTGACAATCAAGTTGTGTCTTCAGTGTTGGACTCCAATCCAAAGCTCTTTCCAGGGATAGTGGTCAGGAATCTGTAAATTCAAGCATCCTCAGGGACACTACTGAAAGGAGAGGTTACTACCTTGTGCAGTAACTGCAGTTCTTTCAGATATGTTTCCCGATGGGTGCTCCGTTATCCTCCTTCCTTCCCCTTTGCTTCAGAGTTTCATCTTGTTGGACTTCATGGTAGAGAAGGAACTGAGGGAAATTCACTAGCACAGCTCTATATATCCTCAGTACAGGGCATGAGGAAGTCTGGAGCACATGAGTGGGCCAAATGGTTACTGCTACCGAATATGTCCAATCAGAGGCACATGGATGCGTGCACAACTGACATGGAGTACCCATAGGGATGCAGCTCTTGAAAAACTGCAGTTACTGCACAAAGCGAGTGACCTCTCCTTCTGCACAGCACCTTTAACTTCTGAACTGGTAACTTTTCTCCCCAATGATGAACAAGGAGGTGCCACGAGCAGAGAGGGAACACTGTCACAAAATACAATAAAATCTGTATTTTGATGCCGGATCCACCCTTTTCCCTCTCAGCTCAGTTTACCACCATCATCCTAGGAATTTCAGGTTGATGCCCCATCTGACCCAGTTGTTACTCAGCTCTTTGCTCTCACCTCCCCATATGATCTTTAACCATGGATCGATTTGTAAATAGGGCCCTACCAAATTAACAGCCATGAAAAATGCGTCACGGACCATGAAATCTGGTCTCCCCTGTGAAATCTGGTCTTTTGTGTGCTTTTACCCTATACTATACCAATTTCATGGGAGAGACCAGAGTTTCTCAAATTGGGGGACCTGATCCAAGAGGAAGTTGTAGTTGTAAGAGTGTCAATACCATATGAGGCCATCTTTACTTCTGCACTGCTGCTGGCAGCAACTCTGCCTTTAGAGATGGGCTCACAGCCAGCAGCCACTACTCTCTGGCCATCCAGCTCTGAAGGCAGCGCCGCCACCTGCAGCAGCACAGAAGTAAGGATAGCAGTACAACAACCATAACTACAATAACCTTGCGGAACCCCCTCCCCCCTATAACTCCTTTTTTTGGGTCAGGACCCCTATAATTACAAAAACATGAAATTTCAGTTTTAAATAGCTGAAATCATGAAATTTACTATTTTAAAAATCTTATGACCATGAAATTGACTAAAGTGGACCATGAATTTGGTAGGGTCCTATTTATAAAGCACAAATCATAATCCTAAATGTCCATTTGATACTCTAGAGACTCTCTTTTGTGCAGCTGCTCATTGGGAATCTCCCCAGCAATAATTTTCCTTAATCCTTCAAAAGGCAGAGGATATAAAATAACAGACTAGTTTTCTACCAAGTAATACTGAAAATACTGGCCAAAAATGATTAAATCTGACCAGCTAACAGGTGAAGGTAAGGAATTTTAAATGCAATGCAATGAATAAAAGGTGAGACAGTAAAGGAATACAAAGGAGGAGGAGGGTTACATGGTCAGAAAATTGAGCTAGCATGATAATTTTGAATTGATGGAAAGCAATGGGGAGATGCTAGAAAAAAGGATGTTGCAGTAGTCAAGAGGCTATAGATGACTTTTAGCTGTTACCACGTATGGCTGCTCCTTAAAACTCAATTCATACATTCATCCAGCAGTACTCTCTTAACTTGGTAGCTGATGCCTGTTTCAAGAAACCAATAGTGCAAGGCTTTACACTAAGAATACTTAAATGAGAAATGCTATTTGCCAGAAACTGACTCTTTGAGTAGATTGTCCACATAGTTTCACCCTTTCCACTTCTTCAGTGTCTCTGATATGGATTCTGAAGAAGTGGAAGTAACTCTGTTCTGCAAATGAGCACATGCATGACCTTAATGCTTCCTATTTTCTAGAGGGTTTTGATTGTGGTGCCAAGATCACGCTGTGCTAAGAAACTCTGTAAAAAAAGTTATTTAGCATTAACCTTTCTTTTTGACCTGTAGTGTGGTTTCCACATTGAATAACCAGTCAGAATACAGGCTTTCCTAATGCCATTCTATTATCTAATGTATATTTATTTGTGAACTTTTACAGATATGTATAAACAGGACATGTGTCAATATAACAATTCTGGATTACGACTGTAATTACACAAAATGCAGTAACAGAGGGGTAAGTAGTAAAGATTTTAATATCCTCAGAATTTCAGAGTATAATACGTAGAGCACTGAACTTAGTCTCTTAGCAGTGATGCTTCACATTAGACTTAAGATTATTTTAGTCAGATGATCTTGAAAAGCAGTAATTAAAGTATTTTGAAGGCAGTATCTTATCAACTGTACATCATTTGATGAAAAGCCCCATATGACACATGATACAGTCAGATCTGCAAAATAGCCAGATCTCATGCCATTTTGGATTTTATTGCTAAAAAATTATTTCTATATGTTGCACTTACATATAGAAGTCAGCTGGGAAGTCAGTGCAGAACAAGAAACTTGGGTGTTACAGTCTCATAGCACAAGATAAAGGTTTCCTGGGGTCTTCAAGAATAGCCCTACATGGAGTACTTTACACTAATGCATCTTGGCGCTAACACGGATAGGATTTAGAGGGTTCCACACTTCATTGCTTCTGTAGGCCGAGTTCACTGCTTGCACAGTCTTGCATCCCTCTGTTAGAGAGTGAACTGCCACATAGGGGGAGTGGGGAAAAAAACACAAGTAACTGACTCCAATTAAGTAGTCCTCTCAGAGGCTAATGGAGAGGGGAGGGTTCTGGACCTATATAAGTAAGACCCAGATCATTCCAAGGAGGGAGAGAAAGGTGTGGTGACACTCTAAAAGACTGGAATGCTGAAGCAGTACTGTTGGAAATAATTTTCCTAGTACATTTACTAAGGTTTACCATGACTTAGCTTGTACACAAGTATTCCTTTATTAGTCGAAAGGCCACTTGGTGTTGATTATATTCAAAATACAAATACCAGTATATTATATTTTAGTGACGATACAATTATAAGCATTGCACAAATATGAACAATAGGATCAGGCTTGGGATAAACCTTTCTATCTTGGTGTCAGAGAATAACAGAGTTCTCACTTTTTGTTTGGGTACAGCAAGTCAGATACTTTATTTTCTCAAGCAATTGCATAGAGGGAGAGAGCTAAACAGGTCTCTCAACAGGTAAACAATTACAGCAAGCATTTATACCTTTTGTTACAGACAATAATGAGCAACAGCTGCATTTTGTTTATACATAGGTCATTCTGATATCTTGTTTTGCTCACTAATGTAGACTCTTAGTCTACATTCCATATTATCTACACATTATCTACACAAGGTCGCAACAACTTCTCACACAGTTCTTTCCCACTCGCCTCACACATTCCTCGCTTCTACAAATCTCGCGTTATTAGGGTTAGTTAGCCTGACTCTTGCTAACGAACTGTCATACATTGGCATGACTGCAGAGGAATAAGAAAAAAACGTGACAAAGGAACCCCTAACATTTTGCCTTTTATAACATTATAATAAGCAAGTGATGTCATTGCTGGTTATCAGACCTTAGCTAAAGCCTGATGAGTCAGTTTATGGCTGAACCCTGTCCTCTGGACTGGTTGAGACAAGATTAATGGCTGGACCCCCCCCTCTCTTCCAGGTTTTCTTCTTTTCTTATTTTACTGTATTTCTCCCTAGCTACTGGATTAAGCAGTTCTTTATAATAAATTAAGGAAGCGTATACAATCAATTATTTACTGCACCTGGTACCCAATTAACCATGTTTTCTTTATTTTTAAAGAATTATTTGCTGCATCTGAACCCAAACCTTACAGAAGATAATGCTGGTATTTCAAGGATCAGTATAAATTTAACACAAACATCCTTTCTTCTCATTTCACCCTCTCCACTTCTCATTCTTTTTGGTCACATGTTTTGGGCTTATCACTTGCACTAACATCCAAACTCAATTTAAAATCATAATTTACAAGGTCTATATTCCTACAAGTATGTAGGGGAAAACAGCTCCAGAAACGGTCAGGAGAAGAGAAAAACACTGATGGGGGGGGGAAAACTAAATACTCATATACGCCTTTTTAATTATAAGTACATTAATGATTATCTGCCAAACTCCCTGGTCCAGGTGAGAATCCACCAGTTCACATCTTCCATTTCTCCCTATAAGCTCCTTGTGCCACCTTCCAATCCACCTTTATTTCAGGAAGTCGCTGCAACCTCCCTGCCCCTTCCCTCATACCAGGGGCTCTGTATTACCCTCTATGCTCTGCCTTCCCAGCCCCCAACCCCTGTGGCAGGGGCTCTGTGTGTGTCGCCTCTTCTCCCCACCCCCACCCCAAGGATCTTTTTCTTCCCTGGGATGGAAGGGAGGGACAGACAGCTTGTTTCTTGTTTCTTCCTCCCCCAACAACAACTATGGAGCGGACTTTGGAGAGGCTGCACACACAGAGAGAGGAAGGAAGAGAAATACTGTGTAGTTGTGTTTAGGGCCACTTCATTTTGCTCAGCCAAAAACTGAGGCGAGGTGTCCATCTGACAGCAAAGGTCATAATATCCAGGCCAGCAGAAGATGATGATAAAACATTTTCGACCATCATTGTTACCTGGGATTCCTTGGTTTACTGATGGATACAGTACTACCCATATTGTTCACAAAGGGATGTGGGACTTGCAAATCTCTGTTAAATAAAGTCCTTTGAGCTCCTTAGATGAATGGTGCAAAATTCTTGATTAATTTTATTTCTTCTGAGTAGGCTTCTCATCCACATACAACCATGTCTCCTCTTCTATATTGTCTCTTGTTTTCTCTCCCAACAATTTTCATCCCTTCTTCAACAAGAAAATGATAGAACTTGAGGCCTGTGAACTTTGGAATTTCTAGATGAACTTCATAGGAGTGTTTACAAACTCTGTATTTTATGGCAGTCCTATTACAAACAGTGCTTGTTCTGTCACTTACTTAGTGAAGAGACTGAAAGGCTCCAGAATATTAGCAGAATGGGAAAACCTCAGAAAAAAACTTGCTCTCTGTAGTAGGAAGAGGGCCTGAAACATAAGCCCATATATCAGAGGCCTGATATGAGGCCTGAGGCCTAAAGTAGTTAAAACCTTGCTGATATGAAGCAAAGTTAAGTTGTGAGTAAGAGGCAGGCCCTGGCTCACAGAATTTGGCAAGCATAGGGTTGATATTGTAAAAACACATATTCCTAAGAGGTGCTAGCACAAAACACTTACGCAAGCACATTCCAGAAGGGTGGTACGAGAACACCCCGAAAAACACATTCCCCAAAGATAACAGGAACATGCTGACCCATCTTAAGGATAAGGTCAGGATGACAGCATAATAAATATAGATGTTTTGATCTAACCTACAGGTACAAGGCAATGGGTGGCACCCTGATACATCAAGGGTGATACGTAACTTGTTTGTATTGGTGTATAAAGATGTATCTCAGCGGGAGTGTCTTTGTCTGGCCTAGGAGATAGTGGAAAGTCCTGCCACTACCTGAGCCTATCCATTGTCACAAGCATACATGTGTTAGTGTACCTGTAACCATTGAGCTGGGGCATTAGCACCGTGCTTCGTCGGCAATAAACTTAACAAATGCCTTCGCTACAAGCCAAGTCTGTGGATTTATTGGGTGGTTCGCTTGAGGTTTGCTGTGCCAGCTGTCTGCGCAGAGCTGGGACAGCACATGGTAAAACACACATGAGAACACGCACAAAGCCAAACATCTAACAACACTCTCCTCAGTAAGACTGAATCTATCCCATGCTAACTTTAAGGCTATTAACTGTAGGTAGTATCTTAGCTTATACTTCAAAATTAATGTGAGGAATCAGGAAGAGATTAACATAGTTATTTCAAATCCTTTTGCAATGACTGACAATGAGAAACAGGAAGACTTAACTTGCCCTCAAATTCCAGTGAAATGCAATATTTATGTGTATCACTACAGCAAATTTCTTCTTCGAGAGATGTCCCTGTGGGTGCTCCACTCCAGGTGTTGGTGCGTCCCTGCGGTTTTGCTCGGAGATTTTTGTAGCAGTACTCGTACCGGCCATGCATGCGCAGAGCCTGCCCCCCGCTCGGAGTATACTTTAATAGTACGCATGCGTGGCCGGTCTCCTCAGTTCCTTCTCTACCGTCCCCGGCCTGAGCTGGAGCTCAGCAGACTCGTTAAGAACTTCTTTCCTCTTGTTACAATTACCCTTCTAGTTAGTTAGTTTGTTGTTAGTTCGTTGTTAGTCGTAGTTAGTTACCATTTCTCTCTCTTTCTTTAAAAAAAAAAAAAATTTATTCGTTCCTGTTAGTTGCTTCGGACATGCCTGGCTCCACAGGCTTTAAGCGCTGCTCTACCTGCAAGGAGCCTATCCCTCTGTCAGATGGCCACTCACAATGTATAAAATGTTTGGGGGAGACCCACATCCCCCAAAAGATGTGCCCACTGCAGTAAACTTAGCTCCAGGGCATGGAAGGACAGGGAGCTTAGATTGAAACTGCTCCTCCTTCAGGCCTGGTCTACACTACGAGTTTAGGTCGACTTTAGCAGCGTTAAATCGACTTAAGCCTGGACACGTTTACACTACGAAGCCCTTTCTGTCGACTTAAAGGGCCCTTTAAACCGGTTTCCTAACACCACCTCGACAAGGGGATTAGCGATAAAATCGACCTTAGGGGGTCGGAATTGGGCTAGTGTGGACGGAATTCGACATTACTGGCCTCCGGGAGCTATCCCACAGTGCTTCATTGTGACCGCTCTGGACAGCACTCTCATCTCAGATGCACTGGCCAGGTAGACAGGAAAAGCCCCGCGAACGTTTGAATTTCATTTCCTGTTTGCTCAGCGTGGAGAGCACAGGTGACCATGCAGAGCCCATCAGCACAGGTAACCATGATGGAGTCCCAGTCCCAGTCCCAGGATCGCAGAAGAGCTCCAGCCTGGACCGAACGGGAGGTACAGGATCTGATCGCCATCTGGGGAGATGAAGCAGTGCTCGCCGAACTCCGAAACAGTAAAAGAAACGGCAAAACATTAGAAAAGATCTCCAAGGCCATGAAGGACAGAGGCCATAACAGGGACGCGCGGCAGTGCCGCGTGAAAATTAAGGAGCTAAGGCAAGCCTACCACAAAGTCAGAGACGCAAACGGA